TAAGAAACAGTTGGAGGCAATGATTCCTTCAGTGAACAGAGTAGCTCCCACCTTGCTCTCATGGATCAAGTACCTGGGGTATAATCAGTGTATAGGATTTGTACTTGGAACCCAAATGGCTGAGTTTAGATGTTTGGGTGGAAATTGGGCTTGCAGTTGAACATTCAAAAATGAAACCAACTTAAAATCAGACAAATTGCCATTTTTCCGATTTCCAAGGCAGGCAAGCCGGTGCCCTCCAAATGTTCTGGACTACTGCTCCCATTGACCCCGGCCAGAATGGCCAAAGGTCAGAAATTCATTTTGCAAGTTGTAGACCAACATATCTTGGGGTCCAGGTCAGGAAGGTTAGGTTAAGCTTAATGCAGTATATAGGGTTTAAAGCCTGAGTCTAGTCTGAGTAAACAGTTCCAAACCTGGGGATGAGGAAAGAACATAGTTTCAAGATTATACAAAATGATGGATGCAGATTTCCTTTGGAATGAACCCCACTGTGGCTTTGCCTTAGAGAAAAGTCCTTTCCCTCACACAAAGCAAGGTATCCAGACGTGGATTTCTCACCCCACATTGCCATATCCCATTCTGTTCACAAGCCCCACACTGAAGTGGCAGGGGCAGCCCCCCACCCCTACCAGAAGCAGCCAGAAGTCGGGGGGGGCGGTTGGGGGGGATGGATTGGAGGCATTAGCATCTTGCTTGGACAGAAATGCTTTCTAATAAGGCACAACCAGCACTGAAGACAACTGTATGATTATGAGCAAGTTTAAAGTCTTTCCAGTTAGGTCAACAGCTAATGAAAATGTCAGCCCACTGTGCAGCTGCTGTGAAAAAGGCAAAGTCCATGTTAGGCATAATTAGGAAATTGCCTAACCATTTAAAATTTAAAATAAAATTGTCAAGATCATGCTGCCCTTTTACAAATCTATGGTGCAACTGCACTTCGAGTATTGCATACCGTTCTGGTTGTTGGAGCTGAGAAAGGACATTATAGAGCTGGAAACAGTGCAGAGAAGGGCAACTAAAATGGTCAAAGGGCTGGAGCAACTTACCAGCGAGGAACACATACAACAGCTGGGATTGTTTAGCTTTAAAAAGGGTGAGTAAGGGGAGATGTGGTAGAAGAGCACAGGATTATTTGTGGTGTGGAGACAGTGGAGAGGGAGACAGTGTTCTTGCTCTCCCATAATGCTATACTCTAACGGGGTCATCCCATGAAATGGACTGATGGCAGATTCACGACAGATATAAGGTAATATTTCTTCACCCAGTGCACAGTCAGTCTGTGGGATTCACTTCATAACAGGAAGTGATGGCTACCAATTTGGACAGCTTTCAAAGGGGACTGGATAAATTAATGGAAGGACCAGAAGAACCACAAAGCTCACACTCCCCAAAGACGGTTCCTAAACATGGTGGAAGCAAGACTGAAAAGGATGAAGAGAACAGGAGTCATCGAGAAGGCTGTGGAGCTGAAGCATCACCACACCCAAGCGGCTTATCCAAAATAAGGAAACATGGAGATAGGGTGGTTAATTAACAGCTCTCCTGACTGTATCTTGGATTAAACAACTGTAATGGTTCACTGTGCTTTCCTGTTTCAACAACCACCCATCAGCTGACACATGTCCCACTTCCCACCACTTCCTCTGGCACAGAGTGCCATGTTTCCTGCTTTACAGAGGACCATCTTCCATTTCCAGTTTAAGCTCAATATATATATAGAGAGAGAGAGCTCAGAAGGAAGAGGCTGCTCTTGAAGTTGCTGCTCAAAAGCACTTGTGCGGCAGATTAGCAAGGCACACAGGCTGCCTGGTCACAGGTTCCCACACTATGATGAGATACATCATATTACAATGTAATGCATAGATGTGCATCTATGAATATAAATTAACTTATGCAACATTTCTGCAATTTGTTTGGCCACCTTATGCCAGTGTGTTTCTCTCTCTTGCCAGCCAGGTAACACAACCTATTGCTCCTTTCCTGCTGTTTCCCTATCCACAAAAACATAGCAAGCAATAAGGTTTATGACAGGCATTAAGCTGAAGGTAAAAATTACCACTTTGGTCTGATCTTGATTTGAGTTGGTAGGCTACAAGACCTGGATCAGGGAGATGGGCACAGTTGCCAACTTTTTAGTGCCATTGGCTCCTTTGCCATTATCAAACCATTTGATCTGTAGACATCAGCAAATGGTCACATTCAGCTTCCTGACAGCAGAAGCTTTATTGGCTGGTTATGGCAAGCAAGTTGCCTTCAAAATACAGAGCAGGGCAGGGCAGGGCTTTTCAGGATGAGGGGTGGGGTGGGGTGGGGAGGGGTGGAGGAGCACTGAAGATAGTATCAAGCTCCTGGTCATTCAGGAACTGTCTTTCTGGCTTTGCAAAAGTCATTGTCATCTTCCCGTTTGTAAACATTGGGATATGAGGTAGGACTTTCTTAGGATGGCCAAATTACTATAGAGCATCATGTGCAGCAGAACTTTGGTGATGACTAGTAGTTGGTAAAATGTCAATCACTGGGAAGTTATGCATAGAGGGAAGACTGAGGTATCGTAAATGAGGGGGTGCAGCCTGTGAGGGGACCCCTTCACCTGAGACCACCCCATCTACCACCATCTGTACAGAGCACATGTTCCCCTCAATGCCACTTTGTCCTGCCTGGAAAAGTAGCAGAAAGTTGCATCTTTTTCACTCCTGCCTGTCCCACAGTGGTTAAAGCAGGGATAGTGGCTTGTGGCTCTCCAGATGCTTTGGCCTACAGTTGAAAAGAGCACAAGCAAAGCCATGCAGGATCAGCCCAAGAGCCCATCTAAGGGTCGAAATACCTGGAGGGCCACAAATTGCCCACCCCGGGCTTAAAGGCTCTCAGTCACTACGAAGAAGCAGGGAAGTATCAAACCCATCTTGCTCTGAATGGTCTCTACCAGATAATTGCCAACTAATTGTCAGCTCTTGGGTATTTGGGATCAATGTTCTGAAAAAAAGAAAGAAAAGGAAGAAATCTCCGAGGTCTCCAGCCACCCCTGGTAATAGGTGGCAAGAGAGAGAATTTAAGGCAGTCGTTAAGAGCATTCAAGCAAAGGCAAGTTGGCAGAAAGGGGTTAATATTTTTAAACAGCAGAACCAATGACTTATCATAGATAAGGGTGCATTCTAGTGGCAAAAGCCATGCAATGCAGGCATATTCGAGATTGTAGAGAGAAGGAAAATCTAACTGAGAAGGAAGACCGGAGGGTTGCTACTTGTGAATCTCAGACAAAAATGACAGATTGCTTTCTGTCATCCCCCATCCCCACTCACCAGTCCCCAGCTTTTCTTTGTTCAAAGGTAACACAACTGACCGCTGCCTTTACAGGTGATATACAGGTCAGATTTCAGAATGCTTTTCTGTGGTTTGAGAACTCAATATGCTGTGTTTTCTGCAAAGCTGTGTTTTGGGTTTTAGGGGCTTAGGAAGGCCACTGGTAGTCATGTAGTTCTTATCTATTTCCACCTTTACAGTCAGTCATTCACAAAGAAAGAAGGCCATCCTATAACATACGAGAATCTATTCTGCACTTCTCCTTGCTTAGAGTTGTGGAGGGAAACATTATGCTTTCTAGATCTGGGATGTTTGCAAGGTGAGGTTTCTGAAGAGCACCAGGAAGGGCAGAAAAGGTAAGGATGCCTTTGTAATCTGTGATGTGTGTGATTTTTATGCTGAACATCCCCGTTACAAAGCTCACCTTTTCTTGAGTTTTCATTAGACACATCATGCTTTTGTGGTGAATGCCACAAAAGGACAAGATCAGTGTACATTTGGCTGTGCCAGTCATGGCTGAGTGGTAAGAAGCATTTGCCACCCTGCCACAGAGAGAGAGAGAGAGAGAGAGAGAGAGAGAGAGAGAGAGAGAGAGAGAGAGTCAGTGTTGCACAACCCCATTGAGCAGATTGTGCATCTAGAAATCCAAACAGATGATCACCCTGCAGCAATGATGTTACGACCCGTGTCAACAGACGCCACGTTAAAACCCAAAGACATGGTATATGCTAAAGGAGTTGCCAGGCCAATCTGGCAAACAGCTCCTTGGCCTAACATGCCCTAGTGATGCACCTCACCTGGAAAATGCAAGGCTGTAGATTCATGGTGGGTTAATGAAATGCTTATGAGCTGGATACTGTGAACATCTCTTCACATGGTGCATGCAGTGATGGGAAGGCAGGCACAGCAAGACGAACTTTTCTTGCAGTTAGTGTTGCCAACTGACCAAAATAAATCATGTCTGGCTTGCACCTATGCTTTTCACTGCACCTTTATCTGAAGAACCAGCAGGTAAAGTCTTTCCCAGCTTGGGGAGAAGCCCAGTCATCCTCCAGCAGCTGTACATCATGCTGCTGTTAAAGACATAGCAGAAGGGAGCAGAAAAAATAACCAAGTAAGAAAACATTGGCAACCCTGCTACTCCCTTCATCCCTATACATACTTACTCGGCTCCAAGTCTCATTGAATTCAATGGGGCTTGCTCCCTAAGAAGCCTACGCGTGATGTTGGCCCTTGGAAGCTGTCTAAAAACATGACACACCGCACCTCTGGAGTATTCTGAAATATTCCCTGTGGCTTGAAGAGAAACACGATTCCTCCTTGTGTCCATGATGAAGAAGGCAACTAGATGCCTTGGGGACAGGGCGGGCGTGCGTGTGTGTGCGTGTGCGTGTCTGTGCGCGCGCGCGCGCCCCCACTCACGATAATGCTGCTGATCCTTGCCAAGACTTTGGAAGCCTAGAAGTCAGAAGCTGCACGCGCGCGGGCGCGCGCGCGGTCACACACACACGCACACGCACGCACGCAGGCAGAGCCCACCCCCACCCGCATTTGGAGTGTGCACTGATCTTGCCCTGGTTGCTGGCACCCGTTCAGGCTGAGGTGTCATTGGGATCTCAGATTGCAGCAAGGGGCTGGCAGGCAGCCAGGGGCAGTCTATTTAAAAGACATGCCTGCTCGGCACAATTCAGTCTCTTTAGAAACTTCTCCAGGGGGAAAGTGTTGGGAGATCTACAAAGTGGAATTCTTTTCTCTCTCTCTTTTCTCTCCCTCCCTCCCTCTCTCTTTTTTTCCTTTTCCTCCTTCACTCTCTTTCTACTGCCGACTTTGTAAAAAAAAATCCTCTAACTTTACAGCAAAACCTCTTTGTTGTTCTTCACCCAATCTAGGAAGAGGAGGGTAATATATATATTACAGCAGCCAGTCCCAAGCGAAATCTCTTCTCGACAAAAGCCCAGCTCTACCTGCTTTAGCGCTGCTCTAGGCTTTTTTTAATTTTAATTTTTAAATTTGCTGCAGATAATACCAGGACAGTAGAAAAGAAGCGTGTTCCCTTCTTTGCTTCCTCCTCCCCAGCCTCTTGCAGACGCTGCTTTTTTAGTGAGGCGTGTGGATTATTTTGTACCTCTTTGTGCAGCCTCACCAAAGCTAGCCTTGCTCTTTTTTTCTTTGTTTGTTTAACCCATTTTCCAGCAACTTTTTTCCCCCATCTCCAACCTGTTGCATCTGTAATTCTTGCAACTTGTCATTGCCTACAGATTTTGACATCCTGGTCTAATTTTGCATCTGTTTTGTTTTTACACACTATTTTGAGGTGGAAAAGCTCTTTTGGAATCTAAGGAAGGAGATACATTTTTTTCTTTTAAAAAGATCTTACTTTTTTTCCTCCAAAAGGCAATCAGTACTGCCTTGGTTGCCCACGTCGAGTGCCTTGAAGATGCTTCTGACGCAGGTCTTGCTCTTGTCCCTGTGCCTGGGGCTTTCGCATGCCTTGGGCTCCTTTGTTCACTGTGAATCTTGCGACGAAAAAGCCCTCTCCATGTGCCCCCCCAGCCCCGTGGGCTGCGAGCTGGTAAAGGAGCCGGGCTGTGGATGCTGCATGACCTGCGCCCTGGCCGAAGGACAGTCGTGCGGGGTGTACACGGAGCGGTGCGCTCAAGGTTTGCGCTGCCTGCCGCGCCAAGGTGAAGAGAAGCCCTTGCACGCCCTGCTCCACGGCAGAGGGGTCTGCCTCAATGAGAAGAGCTACAGGGAGCAAGCCAAAAATGGTGAGTCCTGCCCTGGGCCTTGGCTCAGCTTCAAGGGGGTCTCTCTTTATGTCGCTCCACTCTCTTCCTCAAGCGCATCCCTGCCTTTTGCCTGCCCTCGCACGCTCTGAACATCTCTGCCTAGCGTCTGGAGGCACCACCTATCCCATCAGACCACCTTTCCATCCCATTACGCCTGGGTCATCCCTCCTGGGCATCTGTCTTGCTTTCTTCAATCAGACACACGCACCACATGCCTTCAGACCTGTGTAGTCTTCACCCTAGCCCACTGCTGTTATTTCCTTCAGTTCAATTTCCTTTGCCCTTGCTTCATCTCCTGCTCCATTCCCCTTCCCCATCTCCAGCTCCAGCTCCATCTCCAGTCACTCTCTTCCTTAGCTTCCACTGCATGATGTTCTTCCCTACCCTTCTCCCATGCTTCTTTCTCTGATCATTTTTCTTCACCACCTGTTGTATCTCAGACAGAGTTTCTGACTTGGTTTTGACTGCACCCTCTGGACAGTAGCACTTTCCTCGGTCCTGGCATTTTTCTTTGCTCCATGGGGCCAACGGGGCAGGACGTGGGAGTAGATGTCTAGGGCCCCAGTCAGCAGAATGAGCAGGATGGATGGGGCTGCCTACTATGCTTTGAAGTAATGCACTGGCTAAGCAAAAGAGCCAGGAATAAGAACGTTAAGACCCAAGTCGCTACTAGTAAAAGCACTTCTCCAGTGGGATTTCCCTCATCCAAGCGTCGCCTTGCATTATCTTGTCCGGTTTAGTAGCAGTCCACCTCCTTTGGCCTTTGTTGTGCAACGTTCTGCAGTGTGCATCTCTGTGGGAAAAGATGCCCAGCTGAATCCCGCTCGCTGCAGCTCCTCCGTAGCTGTGTATGCAGCCTTGTCTCACCCTCCCCAGAATGGATTTTCTTTGTATTGCATTTGGAGGAGGTGTTGGCTAAGAGATTCTGGCAGAGTAATGAGCAGGTGGAATAAAGTAATGCATTTTAAAGTGTTTTTGGAAGCAAAACCTTGCTAAGCATTTGTAGGGGTGGGAGAAAAACAAATCCTGACCCAATACCTTTCCCATCCTGTATTCCATTTGTGCCATTTCTCCTTCTTTTTTCCATACCGTTGGCTATGGGCTGGTATAGAAATAAAATCAATAACAATAACCATAATGATAATGATAATAGCTGGGTGCAAAGGGAGCTTCATGCCTCCCTCCCCAAAGCCATTGTTTCTCATCCCCATCTGCAAAAGCAGGCATCTGTTTTCTGCCAGAGTGCCTGTTGCATCCACACAGAGAAGATTTGCAGCTACAGCTTCTCCTTCCCAACACCCCATAAATCTTGCTGCTTTTATGATTCCACCCCTCCCCCTCCTTCTCCCGCTGCTGTTGCTTGAAGGCATTGGCTCTGTCTAGCTGTCATTTCATCTGGCAGGGAGAAAGTTTCTTTCAGTAAAGAACAAATTTGCAAAAGGTCAGGTGCTTCTTTTGGAAGGGGCTAAAGGCAAGGGCTTTGGCTAGATTGTTCTGTAAGGTGGGACTGGTCTGTTCTGCGAGGGAGAGGGGCGAGAGGACTTGGTTTCTGCCTTGGAACCCAGTAAGCCGTGTCACAAACTCACACACACTAAAGCTGTGCGAAAGATCCCTGTTGCACATCATCTCTCTGTGTGAGTATCTTGCAGCTGAGTGTGCATGTGTGCCTGCACACAAGCCCAAGCACATGTGCTTGGTCGGTAACATGAAGAGTCCGATGCAAACACAGCAGCATGCAAAGCCATGCACTCCTCTTTGGAGTTACAACACTGCCACTTACAGACAGATGAGACCAGCAACAGTTTGGCTTTTTGATTTAGCCTGAAGATGCCTGAGCCTCTTCCCTTCCCAGGCCCTTCTCCCCTTCCCTCATGCACCATTTAGCAGGTGCTCCAGAAATGTCTGTCTGTGTCAAGAATCGGCAACTTCTGAAGCCCCGTCAGAGGTAGTGCATGTTTGCAAAACCCAAAGAAAGAGGAAGCAAACAGAGAGGCTCTCTTTCCTCTGCATACAGCCCTCACGCTGCCAGTTTTTACAGAGGACCAAGCCTGGGACCTTCTAATGCACAGCAGGTCCTCCGTCTCGCTCTGTTACAGCTCCCAAGTTGGCCATGGACCTATAACTGGGTTGTGTGTGAATTACTAGGCTGCCAGCCTTGGGTGTCCACCAAATTTTGAGGACTTTAGGATCAGAAAAGTTACTCCTTCACACATAAAGACTTCTCTGGGTTGTGCCCTTAGTAAAAGGATGGGGAACTCATGACATAGCTAGCCCATCTCCTCATTTCTAGGATGAAAACATCAGATACCTGTTGAAATCAAGGATCAGTTGGACATTTTCCAAAAGTTGTCATAATGGTCTAGTGGGTCTGGAATATTCTTGAGGATCCTTCAGAATGTTCTTGCCCCTGCTCAATTCCCTCCCCCAAGTCTTACAAGTGAATTTTGCGAAGTCTCATTTTGCTCTTCAGTTAAACTTTAATCCAGTCCTGTTCAAAGCAGTGCATGAAAATAATACCAAAGTCACCTTTCCCCAGAGACAGAAATGTGTTGGGAATAGATGAATGACTTGGGTATAACTTTATGCCTGCAAGACTTGAAAAAAAATCAGGAATTTCCGAGGGCAAGGCATAGGGAAAATAAAAGCTCTTGGCACCAGAACAGTAGAGTGTGAGAACGGAGAAGTATATTTTCATAGGCATGTTTCTAAGCAACTGGTGAAGGGGAAAAATGAAGTTTGACTTCAACTTGAAGGCTTGTGCCAGGTTGGCCAGAAATCCAAGGAGCGAGTGCTCAGGAAGCCAGTCCCGGCTGTGGTCTCTCAATGACCAAAATTGGCCCAGAGCTGGAAACTGAAGAGAGGGGAAAAAGTCAGGCCTATATATAATAAATTAATTGCAAATTCCTCTTTGCTCAGGAACATTCTTCTGCCCTCTTGATTCCAAAGCAGGCATTCCTCTCACCCTTCTCTGTTCTGTGCCCTGCTGTGGATGGACTATGGTGATCTGGGTTTGGCAAGGAGATGGCTGCTTGAAGCTGGGACTGATCCCTGTACCTTAGTTTTCCTGAGCCCAGGGGTGAAGGTACATGATTGCCACTCAGAGCAAATGAAACATTGGCCAAGCCTAGTTAGAAAAAAATCCAGGCGCCTCTGTTCTTTCTAATTGACCATTCCATGCTGTGGCGCATGAAGGTGAAGGCTCACACCTGCTCTGTGGGGGTGCAGCCTCCCACGCCCAAAGCAGCCACAGCCCTACATCAGTAGTGAGGACTGTGTGGTCCTTCAGACTTGGATGGGCTGCAACTCCCATCAGCCCTAGCCAGCACAGATAGTGGTGAAGGATAATGGGTGTGGTAGTCCAGCAACTTCTAGCGGTTCAGCCTTTCCCTATCCCTGCCCCATATCTTTGTTTTCCATATAAAAGTGAATGCTTAACTTCTGTCCAGCACTGGGCAGCAGCCCTTTTTGCCCATATCTACTTTTCCTAGGATGTATGGACCGTTTCAGCCCATACTCTTTTCTAATGCTCTGCTCATGTCCATGATTTGCTCGTGTTCCTACAGTAGGACCCCCATGCAATCTATCCACTTTCTTCTTGCCATCATCTGTGTGAAGCCAATCCTACTGGAAGCATATACACAGAAGCATGCGCTCCTTCCCCCCAGAACTGAACCACATTGAAATGCAAGCGTGTGCTGATTTGCATTCACTTGACTGAATGCATCTTCACAGATGCTCTTTTTTTTAACCAGTCCTGCACATAAGAAAATGAGCAGATCAGAAGGAAGCCCCAGCAAGAATCCTTCTCCCTAGTATGCTGGCTTTTCATGGGCTGCGAATTTTCAGGATGAAAGAGCATTCAATCATTTGAATCTCTGCCTGCATTTCAGAATGGTACAGGTCCAGAAGAGCTTCCCAATGTGGCTACACTATGCTGAGGATGTCACACACACACACACACACACACACACACACACACACTCTCTCTCTCTCTCTCTCTCTCTCTCTCTCTCCTGGCAACCTTACCTGGGAAAGGAAGGCTTTCTTAGTAATACGTGTTTGCTGCAGAAGCATCCCCTAGTGGCCACATGCTGCAACAGCAGCTGCACTGCAGAAGCATCATCTGTACATGTAAGTTTGATGTAATAATGGGAACATCAACACGACTTCCTTAGGAACCATGAAAGGTTAGGGACGCTGCTACTTTTTACTGTTAATTAAAAGTGAGATTTTAAAGAAGAGATGCCAGGAAACATCCCGCACGATCACTAGGAAAATATGCTCGTCACCTGGTGTAGACAGGCAACTGGATATTTGCATGGCTAATTTGGAGAACTACAACCAAATGGTTCCATTGTTCACAAAGACGCCAAATAACGCAGCTACCAAAATAAAAAGGCACATTCTTTATTATTAATGACAGCGGCACATGGATGTCCTTGGACTAGAAGAATTGCCTTACAATTAAAGATGAATTTGTTGTGATTCTTTCTGGGATTCTAAGCTTTGGCTCTGCTGCTTTCTTGAGAAAACTGGCTGTGACTGTGAAGAAATGAAATGGAGTCAATTTGGGGTGGTAGTTCTGGATTTTTTTAAAGAAATTGCTTTTTCTAATGTTCAGTCTCACCTCACCACATCACACCAGCAGTTCTCTATCCAAATCTCTGATGAGAGGAAATAAATAGCCCAGTCTTATGCATGTCTGTCTTTGCATGTGACATTTTTTAACATGCTGGTACACATTAAGAGGTCCCAGCTCCTGTACTTGCCACACCAAGATCACCTGCTGAAATCCCCTTTTCTACACCAGAGATGGGCAGATGGTACATCTGCAGATATTTTGGATTTCATCTCCCAGAAGTCCTTTCCAACAAGACGAATGGCCAGGAAGCTGAAGTCCAAAACATCCGGGGATCTACTTTTCTGCAACTATTAAAAAGGAGCCATGCCCTCTTCTGTAACTTGCCGGCCTATTTCAG